CCAACTAGCGAAGTCGTCGTTGAAACTCCACCATTGTCAACAACCACCATCACCACTGGCTCTACGCCAACTACCTACACCACTGTTATCACCACCGGTTCTGTTCCAACTAGCAAAGTTGTTGTAGAAACCCCAACCCCAGATATCCCAACCACTACCATCACCAGTGGTTCAGTCCCAACTGGCTACTTGACTACTATCACTACTGGTTCAGTTCCAGTTACTGAGTATGTCACCATCACTCCTACTCCAGATATTCCAACTACTACTATTCCAGGTAGAATCCCAACAACTTACCTAACCACCATCACCACCGGTTCAGTACCTCTTACTGAATACGTCGTTGTCACTCCGATTCCTTGGTCTAATTCCACCTCAGGAGTACCTCCAAGTCCAGTTACTGACACAAGTATGATAACTTCAACCGCTGTCACACCTTTACCTTCTGGTCCAATCACCACCACCGAAACTGCTACCACTGTTGTTACCATTCCATGTGAGGTTTGTGAAGGTGGTGTCTCAACCTCAACCAGAACAACAGTTACTACCAAGACTTTACCATGTGATCACTGTGAAGGTACAAATACTAATGGTGGAAACCCTCAAGTTACTCCTCAATCAAGTCCAACCAAAACTCCAGGTCCTAATTCTGGTTCTGGTACTAGTTATACTTCACCAGGTTCTGACAACTCTGGTTCTACTTCACCAAGTGCTTCTGCTTCAGTCAGTACTTATGAGGTATTGGAAGGTGGTGCTTCTTCAAAAGCTGTCACCTCTTTATTACTTGTTCTTTCAAGTTTCTTATGGTTTGCTTAAACCATTCTTTTTATACTTAGGATATTTTGATTTCTTTTGCTCCCGTTACATTTTTCGAACATTGTGAGTTTTTCGTTTTACTTAATGTAAGAATTGTTCAGTACATTCGCTTTGTCTCTCGTAGTATTTCTCATCAATGAACATTCCTATCAAATGACAAGTTTTGTTCGACTGACGCGAAATAGAGGGACGACTAATTTTTTGCCCACCTCAATGAACCCTTTACGATGTTGGGTGCAACTTTGTAAACTCTTTCTTCAAGGTACTTTTATTACTTTCAATATTTGAGGGATTGGGTATAGCAGGAGATAATGGAAAATTCTTATTATCCATATTTCAACAACGGTTTTATATGATTTGCATTATCCTACTTTGACTATGAAATCTTCAAATTCAACAGTAATTATGGGGTGAAGTATACCTTTAAGGTATACAGATACCGAAACATCACTCATTGAATATCCAAAATTGTTTCAGCTTCCAGGAATATGCAAACAAGCTTGAAATTTACTCTCAATAATGTTTACGCACGTGATGCGAACGAGCGATTCTCACCTCCAGAATATCTAACGTATTATTGGAGTGAAATCAGTCTCTCGAAAGAACTCGCACATTTCATTGCAGCTGAATAATTTTTGATTATCATTTCATAATTGAAAGAAGAAGTTACAAGAAATTATAGAAGTTCAAACAAGAAAGTTGTTAAAATAATTCCTATATGGTACAATTATAGAACTAGTAATGAAAAATTAATATGGAAAAGAACAAATACTTTTGTTGAGACGTTTAACCAGAAAGAATATCAAAATGAGTTCTATAATTTTTTTATATATATTTGTTTTTTGTTGCACAGATACTTCAATAGTTGGTGAGAAGATATGAAAGTTGCAAAAAATAGAATAAAAAGAATTTTAAAAAATTATGCGCATAGTGAAGGACATCGAAATACATCAGCATCAAAGTAGAAGGAATATGGTAGCCATACTACTATTGATGTTGAAGATTTATAGATATTTATGACTCAATTCACGATCTAAATTCACTTCCGGAATAAAACAATTTATTACAGTAGTCGATATACAAGGTCATAGTAATACATCAAGGAGATCTAATATTAATTAACTTCGAATTCACACGTAAACTAATATTATTTTCAAACTCATCTATAAATAAATCATGAATAGCTATATTATGTTTGAACTAACAAAAGATAAATATTGAATACTCACCATGGCTATCGCATTAACAAACAACTATAATTTCTCACGTGTGGAATTCTCACAGTTGAAAATTTGCAACCACAAAAGACATTGAGAAGATAACGGAAAAGTTAACTCAGAAGAAGTCACGCGCACAAAGTTACCAGGTAAAAGAACTCACTGTCGGGTGTACGGGTGAGGTGATCTGTGTGGGTGTACGGGTGAGGTGATCTGTGTGGGTGTACGGGTGAGGTGATCTGTG